GGCCAAGACCGCGGGGAGGCCCAGCAGAGGTGTGAAGCAGAGCTGTGGAGGAAGGTGGACGAGATCAAGCAGCTGTATGAAGAGAGACTGCAGGGGAGAATTCAGGAGCTGGAGCAGCAGCAGCAGAGGGAGATGGAGGAGAAGAGGAAGGAGCAGGAGGAGGAGCAGAGGAAGAGAGAGGAGGGGCTGAGGAGGCAGCTGGAGGAGGATCGCAGGCAGAGGGAGCAGGAGCTGGAGCTGAGGAGGGCTGAGGAGCTCAGGAGAGTGGAGGAGCTGGAGCAGAGATACGCACAGGAGGAGCAGAGCAGACTGGCAGAGCTCAGACTCCACGAGGAGAGGATGAGAGAGCAGGGCAGGCAGGAGCTGCAGAGGCAGACGGAGGAGCTGAAACTGAGGCAGCAGCAGAGGGAGGCAGAGCTGAGGCAGGAACTGGAGGATGAGCAGAGGAGGAGGGCGGAGGTGCTGAGGCAGCAGTTGGAGAGGGAGCACTGTCAGAGAGAGCAGGAGCTGGAGGAGAGATACAGGGAGCAGCAGCGAGAGGCGCAGGAGGAGAGGAGCAGGACGGAGGAGCTGAGGAGGCAGTGGGAGGAAGGGCTGAGAGAGGAGTACGACAGGAGGCTGCAGAGAAAGGAGGCGGAGATCCAGGAGAGGTGGGAAGGGGAGCTGCAGAGGAGAGTGAAGGAGCTGCAGGAGTCCTCCCAGCCTCAGAGCCTGGAGCCAGGTCAGAGTAAGTACCCCAGCAGTGGTAGATGCCCAGTTGGAGTGGGGTAAATTTTGCGGGACAAATTCCAGAGAGACAGATCTGCTCACAAGACTTCCCAATATTTATGCTTTTCACTTTAATTAGATCATTACAATTCGTCTTATTTCAACTGAACATTTAGATTCTCAGAGTCATCCAATCTTATCCCATCACAGCTGACTTGAACCACAAGCTTTTGAACTTGTGATGTCTGATCTCTGATCAGGGTCCTCACCAGAGTACATTTCATTCCTTTCACAAGCCAGAGTGGAAGATATCAGCTGCAGAATGATGTACTTGTTGTAAAACATGAGAAGCTCTAACAGTGTAATGTTGTCTTGTTTGGTTGTTGATCCAGGGAGAAGCCCAGGAGAAACTCCCAGTCCAGAGATCCCAGCAGCTCCTCGTCTGTCAAAGCTGAGCATTGTGCTTCTGGGGTGTGAAAAGGCTGGGAAGAGCTCAGCAGGAAACACCATCCTGGGCAGAGAGGAGTTTGACACTGAGGGAGTAACTGAGGAATGTGAGAGGAGACAGGGTGAAGTAGCTGGGAGGCAGATCACTGTGGTTGACACTCCAGGCTGGCACTTGAATAATATAAAGTCCACCACAGAGTGGGTCAAACAAGAGACTGTGTACAGTGTGTCTCTGTGCCCCCCAGGACCCCACGCTCTCCTCCTGGTGATTCCTCTCATCACACTCACAGAGAAACAGAGGAGAGTAGAGAAGGAACATCTGCAGCTCCTCAGTAAGACAGTGTGGAGACACACAATAGTGCTGTTCACCTTGGGGGATGAGCTGAGAGACACAACCATTGAGCAGCACATTGAGAGAGGAGGAAAGAAGCTCCAGTGTCTGATGGAGAAGTGTGGGAACAGGTATCATGTTCTCAACATTAAGAACAGGGGCGACCGCACTCAGGTCACAGAGCTGCTGGAGAAGATAGAGGACATGGTGACAGGAATGAGTGTCTTTCCATACATGAAGAACAGAAAACTTCTGCAGAAGATACAGAAGAGAAAGATGGCCAAGAAAGAAAGGAGGAAAGAGGAGGATGTAGAAGATGAGGAAGAGAGAGGAGCTGGAAGAATGCCTGTCAGTAGGAGACACAGTAAAGAGTCAGAGCCCCCAAACTGTAAGTCCTGATCACACTGAAACTCTCTCTCCTACATCACTGACCCTCTGTCTGTACGGCACACTGACACACAGCTCTCTCT